CGATAGTGTTCACTACGTCGCCATGTGCTATCGAACATGAATCATGATAGTGTGCATTACGTCGCAATGTGCTATCGAACATGAATAATGATAGTGTGGACTACGTCGCCATGTGTTATCGAACATGAATCATGATAGTGTTCACTACGTCGCCATGTGTTATCGGACATGAATCATGATAGTGTTCACTACGTCGCCATGTGCTATCAAACATGAATAATGATAGTGTGCACTACGTCGCCATGTGTTATCGAACATGAATCATGATAGTGTTCACTACGTCGCCATGTGTTATCGAACATGAATCATGACAGTGTGCACTACGTCGCCATGTGTTCTGGAACATGAATCATGACAGTGCGCACTACGTCGCCATGTGTTATCGAACATGAATCATGAAGTCCAGTACATGTGATGATAAAATGTGCTGTCGATCACAAATATTACAAATATTATATTAGTTGTTCCAAATCCTTTGCAGTGATGGTGATTGGTGGATGGCTCGTCATATTAATGATAATAGAGAAGGATATGTGCCAAATAATTACATAGCGGAAGAGAACAGTATTGAATCACAAGAGTAAGTCACTAAATATTTGGTCCATATTCGGAAACTGTCATAACCTCCCCCCCCCCTCACCGCCAATGTAATTGTTGTCATCTTTTATCACTTGCATTTTCCATATTTATTATTGTGAAATTTTGCTCATTCTGTCAAAAATTAACAAAGCAATTGTAGAAAAATACACAAGATGTGCAAAACAGTGTCACGTTACTATGTTTAATATAATATGATTCGAATCACCTCCTCCCAATCCCACTATATAAATAATTTATTTGAGTTATTTTATTTTATTTTATTTTATTTTATTTTATTTTATTTTATTTTATTTATTGTTCCCTCGCCTGAATTTCAGCTGGTACTTCGGCAACATTGCGCGTAAAGATGCAGAGAAAAAGTTACAAATGGAGACCCACGTGAGAGGAATTTTTTTGATCCGAGACGATGAGAGAGAGAAAGGTGTGTGACGTCAGGGTTCGTTTGTTTGTTGATTGTTTTTTTTTTTTTTTCAATGCTCGAGCGGACGATTCAAAAGTGTTTCGATGAGTGAAAAATAAGAAGTGTCTGAAGACAATAAAAATAACTACTCAAGTAGTTAAAAACACAATTTCGAGTAGTGAATTAACATATATGTATATCCTATGTTGCTATAATTCCATCGGTCAAATTATTATTTTTTCAAGTTTTCTTCCGTATTTTGTTTTTTCTGGTTCATAATACGTTTGTATATGAATTGCCAAAACTTGATTTTATTTTGATTTTGATTTTCAGTAGTGTCATTGTACACTTATCTTGAATGAATGTTAACCAATGACGTTTTCTAAATTATAGGCACGTACTTTGTGTGTATATTGGATTATGATGCTACCAAAGGTTACACTGTCAAACATTACAAAATTAGAAGTATGGATGCCGGTGGTTTCTTTATTGCACAGCATACTGTGTTCCCCACTCTGGACGAGTTAGTGAAACACTATAAAAGTGAGTGTTATAAATTAATTAGTTAATTTATTTATTTATTATTTTATTACTAATTATTTGTTATTATTTTGTTCAATTATTTGTTGTTTTGTTTTATTAATAAAGGGAAATCCACACGCAGATGAAAAAACTTAAGGGGAATGAAATTTTAAGTTCTTTTATATCCCTTTACGTTCTCTAACTATTCAGCATTTTGATTTTCCAGCAAGGAATTGTGGGTAAAATGTAACATTACAACATCTGCTGCAAAATATTAAAAAAGGATTACATATCTTGAGAAATGCTGATGCGATATAGTTTAAATTGCCAGTGTGCATATTAGCTGTGTGTATAATAATAAAAATTAAAATTTTGCAAAATGCAATAATGAATATTTTCAGTTCTGTATTCTATAAACTACTGTTGCCGATTAATTATATAGAATATCTGAAGTATTGGGCATTTGGTGTAAAAATGTAGAAAAGCAATAATGATACTTCTGTTGCCATGAAATGTATTTGTATAGTTGGCAACGGTAGACTACCATATCCGTAACTTTCAAATAAATTGAAGCCATCTCCTCACTTGACACTTGAGTAAAATGCATTCTCCGTATTTGTAGAGCTCTTCCAGCTGGGATCGCTATGTTGTTAGCCTTGACTTACACTTTAATAATCTTTATTATTATTATTATTCGAAATAATAAACATATTTACTCTCCAGGTAGCGCAGACGGTTTATGCTGCAAACTGACGGTGGCGTGTTCCAAGGAGAATCCTAACACACCAGGACTTGGCCACGATAAATGGGAAATACCGCGAGAATCACTCACACTCATCAACATATTAGGTTCGGGAACATTTGCCGACGTCTGGAAAGGTAAGGTTATTTGGATAATACTGACGTATTCCACTGTAGTACTGCACCAATCAGAGAGTGTCTGATTGTGACTCTTTTGCTACCTTGTACCACAGTCCCTCTAGTCCCTCACCTTTTCTTTGGTTACAAAAACTCAAGCTGTGTTTATCCAAGTTCGATTTTGGTATATGTTCTATGCATATTTTCCAAGATAGTGGTTGGCTTTTCCTGAAAATTGTCCTCTTCTTGTGGTTACACTACAACTAAAAAAATTATCTGATCTGTTTTTCAAATCATTATGAAATTTTAAAAAAATTCAATGTTGGTGTGATTAGCAATTTTCAAGATATATGGTAAATTTTGACTGAAATAAAACGTAGTGAACAGAATTTTTACTGGTGATGTTGTTAATATGCTCTCCTAGATATGTCAATTAGATAAGTGTGGTTAACCGATATGATGTTTTTTATTATGTAGTATAAAAGTACTTTGACCCCCCCCCCCCCGTCAAATCTAGCAAGCGAAATTTTATTTATATATAACTGTCATGAATTAGTTTTCGCGTATCTGTAGTCCGACTTATTTAGCTGATTACTAGTGAATGGCTGTGTTACTTTTGTCATCATTTAGGCTCATGCGCGGTTCTGGACGGAACTTGACTCAGTGATTTGGAACTAATTATGATATAACCGACGCTATCTGGACTACTATTTCTGACAGTTGGTATTCGCAGTTAGTAATATAGTGAACGATTAATCAAAAGATATGACGTGTCGAGTACTTAGTTTGATTGGCTATGTGCAAGTTGAATGTGTGAAGGCCACGCCTTAGAGTCTTTTAACTGCTTTGTAATTGGTTAAGGTTTTGGACAGTGTCTTATAGAGTACTCTACTAACCGACTAAAGACGAGAGTTGACGTATTTCGTTGTGCGTGTCTATTTGACTGTAAGGAATAAGTGACTTTCCCGATCCCGTACCTCAAGCGGACGAGATATAGAGACCAGACGAGATTTCCCCCCCCCCCCTGACACGCGTGGAGAACCCCCCAGAGGAGAAGAATTTCCCCCTCATATAACACTGTACCAATATTTCGGATTTAGCAATTGCTAATATTCTATAAGGAGCATTGTGATTAATACAGTACGTGTATGGCGAGTATTGTTCTTGCTTTTATATTATTATTAGGAACATTTTACACCACACATGGTATATATTATTCTATAAGGGGATTGAGATTAACACAGTAAATGTAATATTATTTTGAACAACATGAATATTAATTATTTTTATGATGAATTAATTATTCTTGTCCATGCTAGGTTCGAATTGTTCTCACTTAAATTTTAACCAGTATTTTCCTTGCAAAATGTATTGATATATTTTACATTTATACACTGTTGCTAAGCAATGAAAATATTGTTTGTTTGTTTGTATTCATCCATTCGTTTTTTTATTTAATCTAGACTCTCAATGGGCAAAGTAATAATAATTAAGTTATGTTTTTAATTGTATTTTCAATCTAGACTACTACTTTCTACTACTTTGATTTATCGTATTCAAACAGTACATTCTTGATCCTGTTTACCCCTTGTTGAAAAACAAGATGAACATGTCAAACGAATTGACGAATTTTGAGAAGGCGCCAACTTAATTATTCACATATATCGTACATCATACTATTATCCCGTTATTATTCACAGTACACTCGATAGTTCAATTGTTCAATGCATAATTAATCCATTGAACGTCACAATTGTTCCACACATTTTTTGGTGCACAATTTTGCAAATTTGTATGTAATCAAAAATTCTTTATTTATAATTAATTTTGCACCAAATGAGTATCATTACCCATCCCCAGAGGCCCTGTTCAAATGTTTAAAATTTACTTTGTGAAACATGACACAAATCTACACTCTATAGATGTACGATATATTTGTGCAATTCATAGTTCAAACTTATCGATCAATATAGAGAAGGAGTAATTAATTCACAATATTTCAATATCCGCTTCGGTTTCTAGGACTGTGGAACCAAACTACAAAAGTTGCTGTGAAACAAATAAAACCTGGTGCCATCTCGCCGGAAGTCTTCTTGGGTGAAGCCAACGCCATGAAAAAACTGCGCCACAATAATCTTGTGTCCTTACTGGCTGTTTGCTCAGACATGGTAGTTAACATTTCACATTTTATACTCTCTAATTCAAAATATATTGTAAATGTCACTTTTTCTATATGTGCAATTTATTTAAACGGACATAGCGTGCCAGAATACTCACTTCCAGTCATGATTGTCGAACCTGTGTATTCTTTGATACCTCATGTAGTATGTCGTCTATTAATTGAATGAATATCAATTACATGACTGTTAAAATGGTTTATTGTAAATAATCTAAAATATCACAGGAGCCGATTTACATAGTAACAGAAATGATGGCAAAAGGCAGTCTGTTGGACTATCTGAGAGAGGGCGAAGGTCGCCATAGTAAGCTTCCTGACATGATTGACATGGCAACGCAGGTATGACCAAATGCACAGATTCATTACTTCATAAGCTAATCCAGAATCGCAACTATTTACATTGTTGTGCCTGATTGGCTACTCAACGCTAACACCTGGCAGTCAGACCAATAAAAAAGAAGCTTCTTTGTTGACAGTTTTTTTTCGACGTATACAAATTCTTTTATAAATGCTTCCAATCAACTGGAGTGTGGGTGTTCATTATCCAAAGGTTTATATTGCAGGTGACTAATACCTGTTCATTAATCGATGGATTCGCATCAGTATTATACCCTATATGTGAATGGCCGCCGAGATCTCGTTTAGATCGAGAGTGCCACTGATCTATATAAACAAGATATTTGGAAAAGTGGATGCGATGACGGAAGGGCGTGAAACAGTATTTGAGCGACAAAACAAATCTCATGGTATTATCGTACTCAAAGAGACCTCGTCAGCTTTTTGCATATAAGGCCCATTTATCTTATAACGTTTGTTTCAGATAATTCACACTCCTTATATGTTGACGTGTAATGTGGCTTTATTAATTTATATGTTAAACTAGATTGCAAGTGGGATGGTCTATTTGGAGAAAGAAAATTTCATACACAGAGATTTGGCAGCGAGAAATATCTTAGTTGGCGAAAAGAACGAATATAAAGTTGCTGATTATGGATTATCAGGAATCGCCGAGGATGAATATGTCGCAAGAAAAGGTACGAAATGATATTTTCGGAGTCGTGTAATACTTTGTTGCATCAAATCCACTATTTCGTTCACATTAGTTTGTGTAGTATTGACTGAAATAGTTCTCCAAATGATAACATCATAATTTGCATCCATCTGACATACCACGCAAGATTGCAGCACATGAAGACAATGTGTGCGTGTAGGAGCCGTTGGCCACGCGATGACTCTGTTGAACAAAATTTCAAGAACATCTAAATTACGTCCTGTTTGAGATTGACAAATGTACACAAGATCTCTCGCTTGAAACTATTTTAGCGCTGTTTTGTGATCTACAATTCAATTTATGTACAGTCTCACATCACTCTGAAACAAAAATTATATGGCACAAGGAGTGACGTCACAAGTTCCTCGTGATTCTTATACGTGTGTGTTTGTGTTCCGACAGGAACAACGTTTATCATCAAGTGGACAGCACCCGAAGCTGCACTGTGCAGCAAATTTACAATTAAATCTGATGTTTGGAGTTTTGGAATTCTTTTGACTGAAATCGTCACAAAAGGCAGAATGCCTTATGCAGGTATGTAATGCTTAATGACATGTAGATATTCTTTCTCACCATGCCAATCTAATTCAGTAGAAAAAGGTGTACAACTGGGTAGGTACAAGAGCACTAATCTAAGGATTCAGTGTATTGTTGGTTAAGTGTATTGTTGGGTACAAGTTCGCTTATCTAGGGATTCAACGAGAAAAGGTATGTTGTTGGGTACAAGAGCACTAGTCTAAGGATTCGGTGTATTGTTGGTTAAGTGTATTGTTGGGTACAAGTTCGCTTATCTAGGGATTCAACGAGAAAAGGTATGTTGTTGGGTACAAGAGCACTAATCTAAGGATTCGGTGTATTGTTGGTTAAGTGTATTGTTGGGTACAAGTTCGCTTATCTAGGGATTCAACGAGAAAAGGTATGTTGTTGGGTACAAGAGCACAAATCTAAGGATTCAGTGTATTGTTGGTTAAGTGTATTGTTGGGTACAAGTTCGCTTATCTAGGGATTCAACGAGAAAAGGTATGTTGTTGGGTACAAGAGCACTAATCTAAGGATTCAGTGTATTGTTGGTTAAGTGTATTGTTGGGTACAAGTTCGCTTATCTTGGGATTCAACGAGAAAAGGTATGGGTACAAGTGCACGAATCTGGCAGTATGTTATTGGGAGGGGCAGTATGACTGTCTTACGTCAGACTGGCTTTGACATTCAAAATTTTATACGAGTTTATGGGTAAATGCATTAGGATATCATAAACATAAAAATAATATTTTTTTAACATGACTAACCCAGGTTAACCTGGATCTAAGATTGGATTTTTCAATATTATATAACATAAGGTAGCATTTCTTTGGGTAATGGGTTTCTGGCATTTTTAATAATTTTGTCCAATACCTAATGCATTTTAATGCTGTGTGAAAATAAATAGGAAATCTGCCACACTCACCCAATATGA